TCACTGCATATTTTTGAAGAAATGTTGGTGCTCCCGAGTCTTACATGGATATCCTGTCTCTCAGGCTGCACTGGACATTTCTAGCTAGACTCAACATTTTCTCATTGTCTCCTTGCATAGTGATTGTGCTGGCACTAACCACGGTAAGTGCTGACCCTACGCTCTTAGAGAAAGAAGGATGAAAAACAGAGGAGACATCTGAGATGGCTGATTGGATCTAAGACTGAACACTTCCTGGGAGAAAGATTTTTGGGCAGCAGAGGCTGTTTCTTGGCCCCAGGCCAGGGTGTTGAGCAATGTTTGCATTTCTCTGAGAGCTTCTGCCAAGGAGCAGAAAACTGATGAGTGACCTGTGAACGCTGCTTACATTCTGGGTGACTCACAGTTTATTGTATTCTGGGGGAAAATTGTGTTAATCAGAGGGGTAGGACAGCCATGTGGGTACTGGGCAGGAAGTTTCGTGAGAGGCCATCCAATGCCACAGTAGGATGGCCTCTCTTGCTAAGCACTCACTGCCCATGCCTTTCAGCCAATGCCAAGTTGGAGACCCCAAGCAAGCCACTTAAGGCTCCTCATTGCTTCCTCAGGCTCCCCAGTCTTCTTTTAGAAGGTTCTTTCATAGTTGGTATGGCTTGTCTTTCTCCAGAAAGTCATAAAGCCAAATGTCCTGCCCTTTTCCTTTCTTTTGCAATTAAAACATTAATTTCTGGTTACAAAAACAATACATGAATACATTTATCTTCAGAAACAGTCAGACTAGGGGTGTCTGGGTGGCTCAGTCGGTTAAGCAGTTAAGCATCTGACTCTTTGATTTCGGCTCAGGTCATGATCTCAGGAGGGTCGTGAGATCAAGCCCCAGAGCCCTGCCTTGGGCTGGGGACTGGGCATGGAGCCTGCTTAAGATTCTCTCCTTCCTTCTTCCTCTGCCTCCTGACCCCACCCCCACTCATGCATGCTCTCTCTTTCTCTAAAAAAAAGAACAAAAAACCCAGTAAGCTAAACTCCCTTTTACCCCCAATCTTGGCCCTTTACCCCATCTTCAGAGATAGCTTTTTTTTTTTTTTTTTGGATAACTTCTGGTAAGAGTTTGGCATGTAGCCTTATAATGTTTTAAAAATCTTCCATAAACTTAATGTGAGATTATCTTAGTTTTGGCAGCTATAATAGTATACTAGAGACTTGGTAGCCTATAGGAAATTTCTCACAGTTCCAGAGGCTGGGAAGTCCAAGGACAAGGCACCAGCAGATTTGGTGAAGGCCTGTTTCCTGGTTCAGAGACAGCTGTCTTCTTGCTGTTCATCCTTAGAGGTGGAAAGGGTAGGAAGTTTTCTGGGGTTTCTTTTATAAGGGCACTCATTCCATTTATGAGGGCTCTACCCTCATGACCTAATTACCTTTCAAAGGCCCTACCTCCATACCACCACGCTGGGCATTAGGTTTCAACTTATGAATTTAGAATTTGTCTATAGCAGTGTCGATAAGAAATAATGGTACTTATGTCTGTGTTTTAACATTTTTTTTTTAAAGATTTTATTTATTTATTTATTTGAGAGAGAGAGAATGAGAGATAGAGAGCACGAGAGGGAAGAGGGTCAGAGAGAGAAGCAGACTCCCTGCTGAGCAGGGAGCCTGATGTGGGACTCGATCCTGGGACTCCAGGATCATGACCTGAGCTGAAGGCAGTCGCTTAACCAACTGAGCCACCCAGGCGCCCTATGTGTTTTAACATTTTATTTTGAAAATAATTTTATATATACAGAAGAGTTGCAAAGATAGTAACAGAAAGTTCCAGTATACCCTCACTCAGACTCTCCTAATATTAACGGGTTTCATAACTCTGGTTCAATGATCAAGACTAAGAAATTAACACTGGTATAATGTACTGTTAATTAAACTATAAACTTTGTTAGAACTTTAAACGTTTTTCCACTAATGTGCTTTTACTGTTCCAGGATCCCATCCAGGATCCTCCGTTGCATTTAGTTTTCTAGTCTCTTTAGTCTCCTCCAATCTGTCGCAGTTCTCGGTCTTTCCTTGGCTTTCATGACCTTAACACTTTTTTTTTTAAAGGCTTCCAGTTCTTTTTTTTTTTAATAGTTTATTTATTTATTTAATTTATTTTTAAGTAATCTCTACACCCAACACGGAACTCAAACTCGTGACCCCAACTGCTCTCCCAACTGAGCCAGCCAGGCACCCCGACCGTAACACTTTTGAAGACTCCAGGTCAGGTATTTTGTAGAATATCCCTTATTTGGGGTTTGATGATTTTTCATGGTTAGACTGAAGTTAAGCATTTTGAGGAAGATTTTTAAAAAAATATCAATTATATATATAATTTACATATTATACTGCAACTTGCTTTTTACATTCAACTATATTATTTATTTATATTTTTTAGAGAGGGAGCAAGTGAGGGGGGAGGGCCAGAGGGAGCAGGGGAGAGAGAGAGAGAGAATCTTAAGCTGGCTCCACACCCAGCATGGAGCCTGAGGCAGGGCTCAATCTTAGGACCCTGAGATCATGCCCTGAGTCGAAATCAAGAGTCAGACGCCTAACCGACTGAGCCACCCAGGCACCCCTCAACTATATGATTTTGAGATAGATCTATATTAATGTATAGATCAAGGTCACTTCTTTTAAATTCTCTACAGAATTGCATTATAAGTATTGTGCATTTTATTTAGCCATTCCCCTATTTGTGGGCACTTAGGCTGATTCCAAAGTTTATGAACAATATCATAGTAATTATCCTTGTACACACCTCCATATGTACATGGAGTATGGTAGATAACTAGAAGTGGCATTGCTGAGACATGGATTTGATAAATATTGTCCTATTGCCCTCTAAAGTGTCTGTGCCAATTTATATTTTTTTGATATTATGATGATTGAAAATTGTTGCCAATCTCAGTTTTAATTTCCATTTCCCTGGTTACTACTGAGATTGCATTTTTTGTGTGTGTGTGCTTATTAGCAATTTGTATTTCCTTTTCTGTGAACTGCCAATTTATATTATTTGCCCATTCTTCTAGTAGATTTTTTTCTTATTGATTTGTTAAGAGTCTTTTGTATGTTCCAGATACAAATCTTTATTTTATGTATTACAAATGTTTTCTCTTAGTCTGTTATTTCTTGTTTGTTTCCCAATTTTTTAAAAAGGTTTTATTTTATTTATTTATTTTCAACAGAGAGAGAGAGAGAGAGAGGGCACAAGCAGGGAGGAGGGTCAGAGGGCGAGAGAGAAGCAGACTCCCTGGAGAGCAGGGAGCCCAACGTGGAGCTTGATTCTGGGACCCTGAGATCATGACCCTAGCCAAAGGCAGCTGCCTAATCCACTGAACCACCCAGGCGCCCCTTGTTCCCCAACTTGTAAAATTATTACATGTCCCTGATTTTTAAAGTTATTTTTTCTGATTTTTTTGGAAACAAAGTTCTTGATTATACTAGTATAAACAATGTAGAAAATTTGGGAAATTTATGGAAAAGTATAAAGAAGAAAAGAAACTACCCTGAATCTTATCACTGAGAAAAAAAACACTAACATATTCAATTACATATTTCCTTTTAGTCTTTCATATGTGCATGCATTTTTTTTTTGCTCAGTTGAGATTATATGTATATATATATATATATATAATTTGTTCAGTGGCCTGGTCTTTAGACACAAACCCTGAACTTTTTCCAAAAGTACTTGGTTGAAAGGTAGTATTAGATGAAATTCCAGTTCCTATTCCTTTTCCTCACATATCCTGAACAAGCTAGTAGGTGAGAGGTCCAAGGCCTGTCTTCGGCTGACCTGAACTGAAGTTGGCTCAAAAATCATGAGAGGTAGAAATGCTCCAGTAGAGCACTTAAATTAAGTCTTGGAGGTTTTGTTGATGGCAAGCTCAATGAGTCAATAGTGTGGATGCCATGAACTTTATTGCCTGAATGGAAGTCCTACAAGGAGGAAGTTAGGGTAACTGCTTTGTTGTGATGGTACTACAAACATTTGTTTCTGTTTTGGGTGATATACTCTAAAGGAACCACATTCAAACCTACTAGGTGCATGAGGAGAATGAGGACAAAGACCTTCCCTTCCCCAGTAATGGGAGATACTGGTCTCCAATAACAGAAGACCTGGGGCAGAAATCTTCAAATATCTGTAAGTAGAAGGACAAAGAGAAATTAGACCTGTTTGTTCTCTGAGGCTCCCAAGGGATAGGACTTGGGACAGAGAGTGGGTGTTTCAGAAACTTTCTAACCGGTGTAGAGCTGCTGAGAGCAAGGAATGCTTTGCTCTGGAAATGGTGGGCTTTCTGTCACTGAGGACTCTTTCGGCTTGTTGGTGGTAGGGGGTCGCTATAACTAACATTTATTGAGTGCGCTGTGCCAGGACTGTGCTGAGAACCTTCCCTCTATTATTTCATTCTGTGATACCCAATGAGGTAGGTACTATTGTTATCTGTTCCTGTATTATAGATGAGGGAACTTGGTACAGTGAGGTCAGGTAACTTGCCCAAGGTCACACAATTTTTAAGTGGTGGAACTGCAATTCCAACCCGTTCTGACAAACTCCAAAGCTGGTGCTTTTAATCATCAGTGGGATTCAAGCGTGGTATGGGGGTCTGGACCAGAAGGGCTCTGGGGTCTGTTTGACCGGAAGATTCGGTGACTGGGAAAAGGGATGCCCCATCCCCCTAAGGAAAAGCATCGATGTTTTAGACCAAGGCAAGGTGGTCCGGGGCCTTGCTGAGGGGCCGGGCACAAGGGATGGAGACCTAAAAGCCATGTAAGGGTTGTCAACGTGCCTTATCCTACAGCTCGTCTACAACTGCTGTTGTTTGTGGATCTCGAGAACCCGCGCTAGGGCACGAGGCGCACGACCGCATCGGGGCTCCTCTCAGGCAGTGCTGCTAGGGAGCGTCGCCGCGGCCGGGTTCTGCGGCGGAGCTGGGGAAAGAACAGCACGCCGGTCCCTGGCCGGGCGCGAGCCGGGGGCGGTGCCGGGGCGGCGGGGGCGGGGAAGGAGCGCGCCGAGGCGGCTGCGGCAGTTGCGCGCTGGGATTGCTGCCGTGCGGCCGGCTGGTGAGTGCGGCGGGAGTCGCGGGAGGGTGGGGAGGGAGCGGGCGAGGGAGAGAGCAAGCAAGCAAGGGAGGGAGGGTGCGCGGCAGAGCGCGCGACTTGGGACCCGGGGCCGACGCCAACCCCTGCCCCGGCCCCAGTAGGGCCGCTGTGCCCCTCCGGCCCCTCTCCTCCATCCCAGCACCCGCCTGCGCGCCCGCGGACTCGGCGCCCGCGGACCCACACGGCGCACCCCCACATCCCCAGCTGGTCCCCGCCAGCCCCCGCCTCAGAGCGGCCCCTACCTCCGCTCCGCGGCGACGCCCCCAGCCCCACGTCACGCTCGCGCCATTGTTTCCCTGCCGTCGGCTCGCGGGGACCCGCCTGACCCTCGGAGCGCGGCCCTTCGTCTCCTCAGAGCCAACCTCGCCGTGTCTTATCCCCCACCCACCCCCCGCTTTTCTCACGCCGGTGGCGGCCCCCATCCCGCCTCAGGCGGACCCCTCTCTACTCAGGTCTGCTTATTTTTTCCGGCCAACGTCGGCTTCCTCCCGTCGGCACCGGAGGCCAGCCTTTCCGCCCCTCTTCAAGGGCCTCACCCCCTCCGCGTTCCGGGTGGCCCCCAAGGAACTAGCGGACCGCAGTAGTAGGAGGCGAGGTTGACAGCGTTTTCGCCAGAGTCGCAGGAAATTGCCAGCTTGATAGCCCACATGCCAGTTACGTCGTTTGCAACACTTCCTGGAAAGCTCACATCGAATCGCAAGCCGCCACAAAAACCGTGCTCGTTATTTCCAAACGGCTCCCAAGTCAGGCGTCAGCTGTCTGGTGGCGGCCCCTTCCTTTTTTTTCTGGGGACCCCTGAAGCTGGTGAAAGCCGAGGGGTAGATGCAGATCTGAGGCCTGAACCATTAGTTGTAAGCGTAACGTTTGGAGGTTTTGACGCCAGTAGGCCTCACCTTTTAAAAGCAGTGGGTAGAACTTGGTGTCATTTGTTGTTTTCCCTTGCTGTCGGGCTTTAGGGCCATTATGTTTGAGGGATGTATTGTGAAGTACAGTGCTCTGCAGTGACTAGTCACCTTTATAGGGTTGTGTGCGTGCGTGCGCCCCTGCGTGTCCGGTTGCAGACAGGTTCTTGATTGAACTACTTGTTTTGTAGTGTCTGCACACTGTTCATTTTGCCTCTTAAGACAGCGGATGCAAATTCTAACTGTAACCTGAAAGGAAGAATGTTGAAACAGTACCATTTACCATGGAAGCTTAATGTGATTGAGGTCTTTTTAGATATTTACCACGACACTTTTTTCCTTAATTTTATTTTAGTAGGCTTCACGCCCAACGTGGGGCTCCAACTCACAGCCCTGAGATGAAGAGTCGCATGCTCTACCACTGAGCCAGCTAGGAGCCCCTACTGGGACACTTTTCAACAGTGGTTAGAATTTATCTAGATGAAGACTTTCAGGCCTGTAGAAGTTAAGGTCAGTAAGACGGAGCTAGTTAGTAATTAACGACCTCTACATGATGGGCTGATGCTAGCGCACGCAGACTTTATTTCTGAAATGCATTTCTTTTGCAATATATGCCACTACAATTTGAGCTCTTATAGGTTGTTGCTGCACTTACTCTCATTAACCTAGAATTTAGATTTTAGAATTTAGTAATCAGTGTAAAATGCGAGGGTTGAAGGAGATGTTCTGCAAGGTTTCTTTCAGTTTTTTTTGAAGATTTTATTTATTTGTCAGCACACAAGCAGGGGGAGCAGCAGGCAGAGCGAGAAGCAGGCTCCCCGCTGAGCAAGAAGCCCGATGGAGGGAGGGCTCTGGAGGGAGGGCTCGATCCCAGGACTCTGGAATCGTGATCTGAGCTGACGGCAGACGTTTAAGGGACTAAGCCACCCAGGCGCCTGGGTTTCTTTCAGTTCTAAGATTAGGTTCCATTCTATGAAAATTTACAATTAGCTACAAGTTTCCAAAAGTTTATAGTTGTAGGAAGATTTATATAGAGAGATATTTACTAATGGTATCTGCAAGCCTTACTACTGACACCAGGTATATCTTCCTGAAGAAAGCCAAATTACAGTGGAATGTTAAGAGGAGGGATGTTCATTCATCTGTCTCTAGGCTGTTTTTGCTGTTTTATGGGAGAAAGAAAGCACTTAAGACGTTTGTTTTTTTTTTTTAAATACATCTTTTCACTGCTTAGCTCTCTTAACAAAAAGCTTAATTCAATGAAATAGCAAAAGAACAAGAAACAAACCCCAACTTTTTCATACTATTTATGAGTATGTTCTTTTCCAATTCCTATTTAAACATAGTTTTTATGTAGTTTTTTCTTTTTTCTTTTTTTTTTAAGATTTTATTTGTTTGACAGAGAGAGACACAGCGAGAGAGGGAACACAAGCAGGGGGAGTGGGAGAGGGAGAAGCAGGCTTCCCGCGGAGCAGGGAGCCCGATGCGGGGCTCGATGCGGGGCTCGATCCCAGGACTGTGGGATCATGACCTGAGCCGAAGGCAGACGCTTAACAACTGAGCCACCCAGGCGCCCCAGTTTTTATGTAGTTTCAATTGCTATGTACATATTTTAAATTTTCATTTACCCACTTTCTGGGATGTCCATGTATCTGAAGAATTCATCTACTTTTCATTTGTAGAGGCTTTGTAACATGCCTTAAGACCCACTAGTCAACAATGCCTGCATACAGGCTCTCAGTAAATTTTTGTTGAAGGAAATAGTATTTTGCGCCACTTAAACAACATCTCTGAACACAAAATGTTAAATATCACAGGGCATATGTTCAGTGACATTTGAGCAATAAAGGCAGTCAATACTTTGAGCCAGGAGATAGCATCACATATGTTTGAGGGTGTGGTTTTTGGAGTCTGGGTTTGAGACCTAACTTGCAACTTACCATCCATGCAACCTTGGAGAACGTGGAGGGCCTCACTTGGTTTCTCTCACCACAAAAAAGGGGAAAATAGAACAAATTTCACAGGGCTGTGTGGATTAAATGGGATAATTCCATTGAAGCGATATTGGCATACATTAAATTCTCTAAAAATGTTAACTCTTACTGTTTTTTGCTCAGAGTGGGGACATTACTGCATGTTGGTGGGATCAGAAAAACATAAGAGATGGTGACACAAGAGTAAGAAGATAGAAAAGTATATATATTGAGGGTTTAATGAATAGGTTGCTCTCACTAAAAGTATGTGGTAGAGTAATGGTTTGAGATAAAGCTAGAGAGAATTTCTGGTAAGCTGTTTACAAGATAGGCTATGTGGATTTCTTGAAGATAGAGCACAATTAATGAAATAAGATAATCTTTTTTTTAAAGGTTTTATTTATTTGAGAGAGATAGCAAGAGAGAGCACGAACGAGAGTTGGGGAGAGGGAAAAGCACACTCCCCACTGAGCAGGGAGCCCGACATAGGGCTCTATCCGAGGACCCCAAGATCATCATCTGAGTTGAAGGCAGATGCTTAACCCACTGAGCCACCCAGGTGCCCCCAGATAACTTTTTTTAATGAGTGGTTGGTGTTTGTTTTGTTTTTTAGGTTCAGACCTAAAAAAGTTCTTTGCTTTAAAGATTTATTTATTTTAGAGAGAAAAATGTGTGAGTGGGGGGAGGGGCAGAGGGAGAGGGTGAGAGAAAATCTTGAGCAGACTCCCTGCTAAGTGGGTAGCCCAACGCACGGCTCCATCTCATGACCCTGACATCATGACCTGAAACCAGGAGTCAGACGCTCAATGGACTGAGCCACCCAGATGCCCCCAAAAGTTCTTTAAGGAAGTTGATTGCAAATTGTTACGGATTACTAAATTTCTTGTGATTTGACACAGTAAATCTTTTATGACTTTTTATTTGAAATTTGATTGTGTTCTATGATTGGTTACCAGAGTTTGCAGTGGCTGTTTGTTCATTTTTTTTTCAAGGTTTTATTTATTTATTAGAGAGACTGTGTGCATGCACGCAAAAGCAGGGGGGAGGGGCAGAGGGAGAAGCAGACTCCCTGCTGAACAGGGAGCCTGATGTGGGCCTCGATCCTGGGACCCTGGGATCATGACCTGAGCCAAAGGCAGACGCTTAACTCACAGAGCCATCCAGGCGTCTCTGGTTCGTTCTTAAATGGAAAACAAGTTTAGCGACAAGACAATAGAAACCAATAAAAACAGCAAAATTGCCAGCAGAGCAGCAAAACTGCCCTCTTTTTAGGTGGAATACAGAATCAGAAGGATTAAATTGATTTGGAGAGTGTTGAAATATTTGTTCCTACCTTTTGTGTGTGTGTGTGTGTGTGTTTATAAAGTAGGCTCCACACCCGGCTTGGAGCCCGACGTGAGGCTTGAACTCACAACCCTGAGATCAAGACTTGAGCCGAGATCAAGGGTCAGACACTTAACCGACTGAACCACCCAGGTGCCCCTAGTACATACACTCTTATTTATTAGTACATTATACATATGATTTTGCAACATTTTTTTTGAACATTTTTTAAAAGATTTTGTTTATTAGAGAGTGAGCGAGCAAGAGAGAGCATGGGGGAGGAGGGCCAGAGGGAGAGGCAGACTCCTGAGGAGCCCAACACAGGGCTTAATCCCAGGACCCTGAGATCATGACCTGAGCCAAAGGCAGGTGCTTAACTGACTGAGCCACCCAGGCACCCCTACAGTTTTTTTTAAAGATTTATTTATTTGAGAGAGTGTGAGTGTGGCGGGGGAGGGGCAGAGGGCGAGAGAATCCTCAAGCACATTCCCTGCTGAGCGCGAAGCCCAACTCAGGGCTCAATCCCAGGACCCTGAGATCATGACCTGAGCCAAAATAGAGTCAGGTGTTTAACTGACTGAGCCACCTAGGCACCCCAACATTGTTTATAGTATGTGTCCATGTTGATAGATAAGTCTTTAAATCATTCATTTTAATTGCTCTAGTGTTGCATTATACGAATAAACCAGTTTGCTTATGGATTTTTCGCTGTTTCTGATTTTTTTGCTATTGAAACAAACATTCTTGGATTGTCATGTT